GGGAAAGGTTCCAATTTTTCCCCATTAAATTGCCAGGTGGGGTTTGGGGGGAGGTGGCGAATATTAAGGGGAAGTAAAAAATGTTGGGAAATGAAACACTGTCAAAGTAAGTCCGGGAGAAAAGACCAGTAAAGTCTAATTTCTGCGGAGGAAAAGGGGAAACTGAGAGATCGGATGCCCAAAAGAGAGTATATCCCAGGATAAAAAAAGGGGGGAGTACCTGTATTTAAAAAAATGGAGGGGGGGGGTGGCAAGAAAAGCCCCTAACTGAATTCCCCCGGGGGTCAGTTTAGACCCCCCCCCAGAGGAAATGGGGGGGCATTTAAAAAAAACCCCAAATAACCTAATCGGGGGGCGGTTAATGACGAAACAAGGAAGACAAAAAAACCCGGGAAAAGTAATGCCCGGGGAAGGAGAGGGGAAAATTAAAAAACCGAGCGTATACCCCCTAGGGAAGTGGAAACGGGCTGCTTTTTGTAATTTCAGCGAAAATATGAACCAAAAGCTGATGGAAAGGAATATCGTGCGGAAAAAGAAGGGCACTTTCCCCCAAAGGTCCCATCAGGGAAAAAGGAAACCCAAGAAAAAAAAATTTAAATTTTAGCCCTGAGGGTGTGAGAAATAACAGCAAAAGTTTAATTTTTTTTTCCCGTAAGCAAACACCAAAAGGGGCCAAATGGGGAGAGTAACATCTGGGAAACTCCCCCGATTAAACCCCCGGGGGCCGGTTATATTCCACTGTAAGAAGGGGCCCTGATTTGGCCCAAAGAAAAGATACTTTAAAAACCGCAGGTAAGGGTTCCTACGGACTAGAAGGGTTAGAAAAATCCACATTTCGGGGGGCATTTTGGGAAAATTTTTCAAAAAAGCGAAGGGAACGGTCGCGTGAAGAAAGGAGTTGCGCGATGGGGCAGAGGGAAAAGAGAAAGAGGGAAAGGGGGATCAGGTCCATTGATGGTTTGGTCTCTGCAAAAATTTTTTCAGAGATTGCTTTTTAATTTTTTCGGAAACAGAGATTCGTAAAAGGGAGACAAATTTGGGAAAGGTAGGGGGAAAGGGTAGTAAAAATTTTGGGAAATGTTTTGGACTTACCAAGGGAGGGGGGGGGGGGGGGCCCCAAATGGAGGGAAATTTTAGAGGGGCAGGGGGACAGAAAGCCCGGAAACCCGGGGGGTGGGGAGAAGAGGGAAAAAATTTTGGGGGGGAACAGGGGAGGAAGGTACATTAGGGGGGTTGGAAACCCCTTTCACTTGTAACTGAGCCAGTGGGGAAAGGGGGAAAAAATTTGGGACAGACAGGGAGGGTAAAATGAGGGGAAAATGGTAGGAGGTGTTTCCGGGCCTTTTTTTTACTTTTTGAGAAGTGAGGGAAAGATTTGGGAAGAGGTGTTGTAGAGGCCTCGTCCCATACTGAGGTTTAAGAGAGAACTCGAAGAAGCGAATTAGACTGAGGCGTTAAGTAGGGGGGTTTTGAGGCCCAAAGGGCAGAAAAACGGGGGTTAAAATTTTAGGAGTGATTTTTTGGGGAAAGGTAACCACAAAAGGTGGGTTGTAGAAGATGGGTACCAGAAGTGGGGGGGACGTTTTTTAAACACGGGAATAAGAAACACGTGGGGGGTTTTCCCTTGGAGGCGGAGATGGAAAAAAAAATGCCATGGCATAAAAAGGGGGACCTTCTTTTTCTTTTAGGAAAAGGATTCCCCCTCGTTTTAAAAAAGACCTGACAAAAGGCGGGGGAGTACGAAGGGTGAGCCCCATGGGGCGTTAAGGCAAGAGGAGATCGAAATTTCAAGAAGTGTTTGGGAAAGGTCATCGGCACCACGACTGGGCATTCGGCGGAAAAAGATCTGCAAAAATTTCGCGGATGGGCCCAAAACGCCAGCAATTTCTACAATGTTTTGGTGTAGGGATCACCTTTCGAACTTGTAACCGATGTCCTGCTATATAAACGGAGGATGGGAGTTCTCGGCTGTCAAAAGTTAAACGAGCCACATTGCTAGGGTATCGTCTCCGCCCACGGGCAGGAAGAATGTAAGTGTCTACCTTGAGGATTGGGAGATCTTGGAGTTCCAGCTGTTCTAGAATGTCGGTGCCACATGTCTGGAAATTTTGTTGAACTATGGTATGGGGCAGAATAACGGTACCACTACAAGAATTGAGGGAATGATGTTTTTCAAGGGTGACAGGAACAGAATCTATATGGGAAAGACGAGAGAGCTCACGAGCCTGGGTAGCATTCTGTACGGTAATGATGCGCGTACCACTCTTAAGAGCATGAAAAGAAATATCTTTACCAACATGGCGTAGGAGTGCCTTGCCAATACTATGGTCAGAAAGATAGGCAGTAGAGGAAGTTGGTCGTAAAGTGAAGAATTTAGTCCACTGTTCAGTCTGAAACTGAGCGTGGAAAGGTAGTGAAGGATGTGTCGATCGTTTCTGAGAAGAACGAGAAGGTGAAGGTGGAGAAGTATCATCAGCAGGTAATTGTCGTTGACGTTTAGGCGTGGGACCAGAGTTGGTCCGACGTGGAACGGGTCGGCGATTTGAAAATTGCCGCACCGTAGAGGGAGAGGCCGGAAGCATAGTCAGAGGAGAGCGAAGGTCTGATAAATCGAAGGAGTCAGTCGAGGCCTCAGTACCTGAAGGGCGGGTGAGGAAACAGCACCGGAAATAGGTACAGAGGCATGAGGAATGTCTGAAGAGTGCGTCCAAAGCGCGGGGTAGAACGGGGTGCGGTATAAAGGGAAGGGGCCCGGGGGTACCAGGTTCATGGACTAGGGCTGCCATGGTTAGGTTACTTTTCTTTTTGTTTTTAAGAAAAAAAAAGAAAGAAAAGAAAATAAAAATAAAAAAAAGAAAAAAAGGGGGACCGGGGAGGGTTTAGTTCCTAGGAGGAATGAAAGGGCCAAAAAATCTCCCTCCGCGCCCAAGAGGACTCGAAAACCGCTAGTAGCGCAGATGCAGCAGGGAAAACCCGTGCCATACCCTACCCATCATGCCAGTAAACCGGCAATCCGGGAAAAGAAACCCTCACATCTGCAAAGCTACCTCGGGGGAAACAAAAGAGGGCAGCCGGATATCCGCCACAAAGGATATCTCCTTCGGCCCCCACCCCCGGAATCTAAAAAGGTGGCTTCCAGAGATACACCCGTCGCCCGAAAGACCCCCAAAGCTACTCCGGAATACCGGAAAAGGGATCGGGACATCCCCAGGCGATCCAGATTCCACGGCAAACTACGCCACCAAGAACCTCAATGGAATGGGAGGGGACCCCGGTGTCCTTTCCCCTACCTAGGAACTAGCACACCTGTGGAGAAATACCAAAGGCCAAAAAGAGGAAGGGCAAAAGGGAGGGGTGGGGGGGAGGAGGAATGGAGAAAGGGAGGATAGGAGAGGGGAGATTGGGGGGGGTAATTTAGGTTCGGTTTGAGGAAGACAGGTCTAATTCCTCAGACCAAGAGCCTCTTCACCACACCAAGGGGGGCTCCTTGAAGAGGGGCTTACTGCAAGGAATGGAATATACCCACCACTATTACAATCAAAACCAAGCTCTAAACCTACAAGGGTCATACCGTTCCTCAAAGGATTACTTTCAAGTCTTAAATTTTGCTGCTAGTAGGGGTGTGCACTGTAGTAGTTAGGGGATGGAGAATTTAAGTCAAAGCTTAATGTAGTTTAGAGTCTTGTCAGAGTGACTGCGTTAGACTTCGGCAAGGTCAGTGAATCAGGGAATTAAATGACCAACTGCGTGTTAAGAAAGCAGCCTGTGGTAGCTTCCGATGTTATCACCCTGGTTCCAGACCAGGCCTTTTGGGTTTGTTTACCTGATCAAGTAAGTGCCTGCAGTCCATTTGTATTCCCCAAAACATGGCTGATCAGAAACAGTTGGGACATTAGCGTTTTTTAAAGACAGCTGGGGACATTGCTCCCATAATGCATGCAAGGCGTTAAGACTCTTGGTCCCTCAACAGTTCTCTCCCCCCCCCCCTCAGTGGGGCCATCTCTGGTTTTAAACGAGTTACGCTAAGCTGGGCAGACTGCAGGATATTAGGGGCGCACTACATCCCAGGTGTATTATGGGAAGCGCTAAACACTTGGATATACAGCCCCGGGGGGGGGGGGGGGGGAAAGGGATGGCAGGTATTCAGGCTTATTTTAGGAACTGGAGCATATACTATTCTAGATAAAGATTAAAATCAAGGGGAAGCGCTAAACCCGGGAGGGATTATACAGCACCTGGGGGGGGGGGGGGAGATGTGGAATGCAATTCAGGCTTATTGGGGGAACTGGAGCAAAAGATCCAATTACCTAAACCAAGAGCCCCTAAACCAACATCAAGGAACCTTCCTTGAGGAGTCAGATTAAAGCCCTCACGAACACAAAGGAAACTCCCCACGAGGGGATTCCAGAGTAACTAAACTTTCTTGCTTATGCTTTAAGAGTACAGTCCTAAAGACCCGCTATAATTTTTTTTCCATGAACGCGAGGTCTGACCATCACTTTGGTCTCAAATTTTATTAGTTCTGTCAAGTATCTTTCAATTCTTATGCTTTCGTTTATTCATAGTGCGACTGGCAGTTTTAGTAACGTGCTAGGTATTTTTACGATGCCTTGATCGATCAGGTCAGCAACCAGGCCTCTTTACTTCCTGAAGGTGTTACAGGTAGCATAGCCTAACCTTTAGAGTTAGGTGGTGCGAGAGTTTAACTTCCACCATTAACAGGAGTGGGAAATTACAAGGAGCCTGGCAATAGTTGCCAGACTTAGATGTTGGATAAGGGGGGAAAAATTAACCATTGCGAAAGTTAATTAGTAACTAGTACCATGGTTCTCAGATTAAAGCCGAAGCCAGTTTACCCAGGTCTAAGAGGCCTTCTAATTAACACTAATTTGAATTTGCGTTATCTGAATGGGGTTACCCACTAAATGGGGCACTATCAGAATTAAAGCCTTGAAGTCTGAAAGTTCAAAAAAAAGTTCAAGAGGGTTAGCAAATTCAGGTAATACTGTAAAGTTTTATTTAATTTGCTCGCTCCTACCCTAGTCTAATTCCCCTTTATTCCTGCGGCAAAATTTAATTAGATTCGTTGTGCCGCCCTTGTTAAAGGGAAGGAAACTAATTAGTTTATTAGGACTAAATACATTGTCCACTATTTTAGAAAACCTAGGAATACAGCCATAGGCCAACTAAGCTGCCACAGCTTACTGCATGGCGAATAGCGAGGTGTACTTTCAGGTGGAAAGTCCGGGTAGCCAGGACTGGCTGCATGGACATCATAAAACTTAGTTTCTTCACCTACTGTGTACCAAATTAAAGACTAATTTAGTCTCCCTATTCTCATGTTCGCAGATTCTAACCTAATACACTTTAAAGCTAAGGGAATAATTTCTTTCAAGCATAATTTAATTGTACCTTTTGAGCCAAAAACAGGTTGCAGTCCCCAACTTATTCAGAGCCTTCCAAGTAATACGGGTAATAGCATTAAACCCATAAGGGTTATACGGCTATAATAGAGGACAGTTTAATGAGACTGGGCTACGGCAACTAGCTTAGTTTACCCTACACTAAAAAATCAGGATTAACTATTCAAAATTTTAAGGATACGTATATTAAAATTTTTAGATTTGGGTATAAAAATTTTTAAAGAAATTATGAAACAGGTATATGCAAATTTGATGCTAAGTTAAAACGCACTAAGTAGTATCCAGAAAACAAGCATAGAAGTTAACCACATGTTGTGGCTGTGGTTAGGGGCGCTAGCAACCAAGTGCGCATATTTCAGAGCAACAGCATCATTTGGGTTTCCATCGGTACCATTGAACCACAGTCGCATACATGGTTCGGAATCTGACGTATATTTCCAAGAATTATCCCATACCTAAAAAGCAAAGTGAGATTAATTAAGACCCAGTGGAATTTAAGTAATGTTAAGTAAATTAAGACTTTAAAAGTTTTTAGGTAAGCAAGTTAAATGAAGTTACCGTCTCACAGAAGTTGGATGCATTGCCATAGATTTCTAGGAAGGTCATACATTTAGATTCTTTTGGGCAGGAATTTCTAAAGCATTCTCCATCTGTACATTCGCTGCCATTTGACCAATCAAAGTTCTTTGACCAGTTGTCAGTGCAGGTGAAGTCTGCAGCACAGTCGTTAAACCAAGCTTCACAATCACTGGCACAGAGGGGAACATTGTAGAAGCGCTCTTTCCTCCATGTGCGAGTATCCTGCAGATAAGACAAAAAGGGCACAATATCGTGATTAACAAGACAAATAACCTGCAAAGAGGAGCTTACGAAGTTTCGGTCCCATTTGGACCATTTACAAAGTAACTAACGAGAAAGTTAGGCAAGGTTAGTCAGGAAACGAAGATTTCCCTGACGCGGGTCTTATTCAGACGACCTGCCTTTGAAGCCTCATCTGACAGGCTTTCCGCTGACTCACCTGTCCACTTTTTTAAAAGTTAGTGGTTATTTATAACCATTTCTTTATTCAGTAAAGGAGAGCATGACTATAATAATTATATATATTATATATGTGTGTGTGGGAGTAGTTTGTAGTGGGGGGGGGGTAGTACGAGTAGGAGGGGCCAGTCAAATACTAAGAAACTAGTACAGCAAGGGAGCTGGTGCCCACAAGGTGGAAGGAAGAGCACTAAGGGGGGAATAAAGTAAAAAGGAACAAATATACAGGGTGTGGAAAATACTGTATATATTTTCCGGAAATACGGTAATTTATAGGTAGAGATATACCCTATATTGTATTTTTAAGATTAGTATGTTATCGGGGAAAAAAAAAAACTAAAGTTTTGAATTTGCTACAACGTAGTGTAAATGGGAAGGAATTTTCGTGCTAGAGGTTAAAATTGGGCTTACACCTCAAATAGGAGGCGAAATTGTTAGACATTCATTCCTGCATAACTTGGAAATACCAGACGACTGGACAAGACAGCTCCAGGAATCTCACAAGCTCTAGATTTGTGTATAATTCTGGCTAGTGTTTTCATAAATTTAGAGGTTTTTCCGAGTATGATGCAACATAATATCCAGTCAAATTGGTGAGCGATATTGATATATTTTCCTTCTCTTATGCAAGTGTATATTATAACTAATTTACTATACAGTCCACAAAATTAATATCTACCAGTATTCCTGGTTATACATATTTCATTGTTAATATGTTCAGAGCAACTTGCTGATATGACTGTGGTAGATATCGAAGGGGGGGGGGGGAATCAGGTTAGGTCACAAGTGTTCTGAAGTTTAGACATTTTACAGCTTAGTGGGAGAAGGAGCCAGGACTAAGATCCATACAAGGAAATTAGTGTATTAGGGAGTATTCAATCAAATGGAGACTTCCAGTTGGAAGTAGGGAAGACAGTTTCAGTAGAAGACCAGCAAGCCTAACACTAAAGATCGATCAGTTTCTCTGGTACTGAAGAGGACAGGAGGAACAAAGACTACGAGCATCTACCATCACCTGCCTATGTGCATAAATCCTAGTTTTGATAATTACATTTTTTTTAAATCATTAGTTCTGAAAGGGGTGGACCGGTAAGCCAGCGGAAGGAGTGTTAGATTACAGAGGCTCCGAAGGCGGGTCATCCGATTACCCGCGTCAGGAAGGTTGTAGGCCTTAACCATTAAAATTTGTGGCCGAATAATTGCTGTATGAAGTTAGACTGTTTCTGAACGGGAAAAAAAAATTTCAGTGTCGACAGTTTAAGAGGCAATGAGAAATTTGATTTCAGTTGTAAAGCGGTTTTTCCCCCCCCCCCCCCGAGGACAAACCCTTAACAATCCGGGTGAAATGTTGGGAAACATTCGTAAAGCGGGGAACTTGTAAAAAAGCGACCTTGCTTGGGGCAGGACTTTAGGTGGGGACAAGGGTTTAAAAAATTAAAAGTTGTAAAATATCCCTTATGGATTTGTTCGTGTTTTAATTGCGCAAGATCTTTTTTTCCCAGGGCAGCATGAAAAAGGGGAAAAATTTTTAAAATTAAACGAAAGTAGGGTAGTAAACAAATATCACGTTGACCTAAAACGCTTTTTTTGATAGTTGGACAAAACCCCGCATAACCCCAACAAAAAAATCTCTCGACTTTTCCCCGTGTCCGACAAAACCTTTACAAAAATTAAAATTATGTCAAAGGCCCAAAAATTGGGAAATCCCTACCTGAAAAACTCTAAACGCGACACTTTCATCACCTTCAAAATTACCATTAAAAAACATCTTATCTCCCTGTACACCCGTCAACAAATACACGAATACCCCGGTGGTTACATTTAAACACTAAATCTTTGACCAAAACAAAATATTGATCTGCTTAAATAAGAATCCTTGATACCCCAATACTAAAACCTATGTATGTGCCAAAACAAAGATTACATTGCTAAACCACAAACTAGTTTTTAGTCATTTAAAGCCAAATACCAACTTCCCTCAATGTGTAAATTTTAAAATTTAAAGAAAAAAACAAAGTATGCCAAAATGCCTAGCCATGCCAAGCGTTCTAGTGGTACACTCTTAATCACAATTTTATAATTAAACCAAACAACCAACTTCGTAAACCAAGTAAGGGGGGGGGGGGGGAAAATTGGTATAGTTAATTACAGGAGAAACCGATTGTTTCAAGACGAGGCTAGCAGAAAGTTATGCTTTCCTAAAAAGTTTGTTTTAAGGCCCCAAGTCTACCAGCTGAGCGGAATTGGTTTTTCAAAGTTTTGGGTTTTTTGTAGTTTTTAGCTAAAAAAGGGCTTCAGCCCTGGGGGACGGAAATAATGTAGATCTTTTTAAATAAATTTGGGAAAAGTTCAGCGTATGTTTGGAGCTCCCTTTGTTTCTTGCAAAATTCCCGCAAGAGGTTCTTTTGGCCAAGTTTTTTTTTGGGGTTTCCCCTGCAAAACACTTTTTGGGGAGTTCCTCCAAGCCAGTGAAGTTACGGCCCCCTGACCAACTATTAAAATTTTGTAGCCACAACGACGTCATTCTGTAAAAAAGACTGTCATAGCCGTTTTTTTGTGAGAGTTTTTAAATTTTAATTAAGGTTTTAAAGGGTTGCTTTGTGTGAAAGGAAACTTTGAAGAGATCTAATTTCACTTTCCTGGGATAAAATTTAGGCAAAAGGGACGACCTAAAGCTTAGAAGAAGGCTAAAATTATGAGTTAGTAAATATGAAAGTAGCTTCAGGGGAATTTGTGCCATCCTTATCAGATGGGGGCGTTTTCAGTATGGGGGGACGTTCCAAAGTTCGTTGCGGGGGAAAAGGGAGGAATGTGGGGGAAATTTGTGGTAATATAGAAAATTGTGGAAAAAAGAAAAAGATATGGGGGGGGGGGGGGGTTTCTTCCCATGAAGGGCGCAGAAGTTATGAAAGAGTAAAGGTGTTTAGTCAAAACTCCTTCAGTTTTTTTTTTGGGCCAAAAATTTAGGTTTCTTGGAAATTTAAATTTTCGCTTTTTCTATTTTTTCTTTAGTTTTTGGATTAAACCAAAAAAATGCTTAGTTTAAGAAAAATTTCATATAAAAGGGAAAAAGTAGTGTTACCTTTCGTTTTCCCCCCCCCCCCAAGTTTTAGGGGTATATGGAAAAATAAATAACTTCTTTATACTGAAATGCCCTATGTTCAGTAATAAAGATATCCATTTTCATGCCAGAATGGGATTTGCTATTTAACACCAACACATCTAATTTACCTGTTAGTTTAGAAAAATTGTAGAATACAAGCTTAAGCACTTTTTGCTTTTGTATGGTAGTGGTTGCGTCTGATGCCCTGTTTCCCCGAGGGAAAACCTGTCACTTCGCCCTCGTCCCACACCTGATGGACTTCTGCTTAATTATTCGTTTTTTTTTTTTTTTTTTTTTTATTTTATTTAAAAGGACACGTACAAGATATAAATAAATAAAAAACAAAATTTTAAAAACCTTTTAAAAATACAAGACCTACCAAAAACCCCATAGCATCCAAAAGTTTTACTTTCATTTGTATTAAAAAATATCCATCCCCCAAAACAATGAAACGAACGGGGATAACCCCTGCTAGAAAAAACATCAACAAATTTAAACCTACAAATTGTCTATTATACAGTACGAAAAACCCCTCTTGCAAAAAGTCAAGATGTATGATGAGCATAAAAGGAAAAAAATCATACATTACAAAATTAAAACAAAGGCAAAACCCACCTACAATAAAAATTACAAAGAATACCCATAATTTTCCCCGCAAAAGCGGGAAAAACTTTAACAAAAAAAAAAAGGCGAGAGAGCCCCAGCACCGAAAAAAAAAATTAGCAAAAACCAAAAAATCAAAATTTTATGTCTGTGTCCCATAAATCCCCCACAACTCTGTACAATTAAAACCCTTGCACAAAGTGCACAAAAAATTTTATTTAACATAAAAAAATTTAAAAAATTAAAAGAACTTTAAATTTAAACATTAGGAAACCCAAAGCCGACAAAAAACATTACATTGGTCTATCACAATAAACCCCCCAAAAACATGGGCAGGAAACACCCTCAAGAAAAGACATACTTATACGAAAGTATCAACCATAAAACTAAAAAATCCTAACAAAAGGTATCAAACTGTTATTTACAGGACATGAAAACCTTATCCCCCTTTTTGAAACACTAGTACATCATTGCTGTTTTTTTTTTTTTTTTTTTTAAAACAGTCTAAAAGTTTAATATATAAAAAAAAATTTTTTTTTTTTTTTTTCCAAAGGTTTAGTATCAGGGTTTTTAATTTAAAGGGTTTTTCCTGTATGCGTGAACAAAACCCATAGTTTCCCAAAATCCTCTTTCCCCCTTCCACTCTTTTATAACCCTCCCCCCATCCACATACAAAGAACCCTAAACCAATCACCCTCATGCACCCCCGGTAGGAGCCCAAAACCTTTGCCCCCCCTCGGGTTTTATGAGGGGGGCCCCCCCACAGTGAGATTCGGAACCCCCGAAAAGTAACTACCCACCTCCCCCCATGATTGCTTTTCCTAAAATGTTCTATAAAATCTCGTGCTAAGTTATATCCTCAACTCTCCCTAACCCCCCTCATCCCCAAGATCTGTAAATAATCCGTCATAACATACTTAAGGCTCTCCCCACATCCCCCGGCCCCCCGGTTTCATCCAACTTTAAGGCCCCTTAGGAATGGCCATTGCCCCCCCCCAAAAGTCTGAAAAAACTCTCACCCTCCATAACCTCCCCCCCTCCAAAGAGGGAAAAAAAATATACGCATGAAAAGCCGTTTCGAGTCCCCCAATGCAAGATGAGCCCTCTTCACAAGACCCTTTTTTAAAACCACCCCCTGGGGCCTTTTCCCCATCAAAAAAACCGATATACTAACTTGTACCCTTGGGGTTTTCTAAGCAACCCAAAATCCCCCATATGCCTTCCAGTCATATTTTGGATATCAGAAAGCCCGTAAAACCCCCTTGCCCACCACAGCCCCCACCATTCGTTTCCCCTTTAACGTGGCCCCTGTTTAAATGAATTAAAAAACCCTCAAAAATGTCCACAATACCTCAACCCCTTCCACACCACATTTCGTGCATCCTCCATTACCCCTACCTACCCTGACCCCTCTGTTCCCCCAGTCCGATATTCTTTGTTTAATATATAAGCCTTCTCTATGCCCCAATGAATCAGGCAAAGCCCCCCACGTCCCCTTCCGTCATCCCCACGTCCTTTGCTCAACCTCCCCTCCAAACCCCAACTCCTTAGCCCTTTTCCTCTGGATTTTGCAATTCTTTTGCTTTTAAAAGGGGAACACCTCCCCCACTCCCCAACCTTACGTACACCAGAGAGTTGACCCCCTAAAACTCTTGCTGTAATGTTAGTCCCCCCCCCTTAAAAGCCTTCCCTCCCCAAAACCTGTGTAACTAATTCCCAAATTTTTCTTCTACTCTCCTCACTTCCCCCATGTACCATTTTCCCCAAAAACCTTAATTCTTTTCCTACTGCCCATCCAACCCCCCCCAAGCTCCCCCCCACCCAATCCCCCCCCTTAATAGTTCGCTTCATTAAATTAATTCATCCCGTAGGGGCCCCCAAAAATCGAATATTCCCCCAATTTCCCTGATTTCCTCTGCCTTACAGCACAGTATATCTCTAGTACCCCCGCCCCCCCCGCCCACCCCCCCTAATCCCGTGTTCTTCATCACCTCCCAAGCCCAAAAAAAAGGATTCGTACACGGCAAACAATAATGAGAGAGGGGAAGCCCTGCCTCAAACCTTTCCTCGTCTGGGCCCCCCAACTTACCATTAATTGTACCAAAACTGCTCCTTACAAGGTTTGCACCCATCTCCCCACCTTCTCCCAAACCCAACTTTTCCCCAAAAAAATTTTTAAGAAATCCCTTTTCAAAAAATCATACGCTTGCCCAATCAAAAACCAAGTTTTCCCCCCGGGCGCCCTCAATAAAACCCCTTATGTGACTATGTCCGCCCTCATACTCTTCCGGAAACCCAAACTGCCCCCCTGTTCATGTCCTAGGCCCTTTTTCAGTCTATTGCCGTTTTAGCTAAATTTTATAATAGCACACTTTAAGGATTGCTCTTAATCACTCAGTATTTCCCTTCCTTTTTTTTTCGGCATAACACAACGACCCCGGTTTTTGTTTTTTCCCCAAATCCCCACGGGCCCAATAAA